TATACGCAAATGGCTACCATATTCAAAAATATGCTATTTTTGTATGAAAATTATGGGTTTTGTATTTTATTTTAATAGAAGTTGATGTTGCTTTTGCAATTATCCATCAATTTTTTAAAATTAATCACTATCTACAGATTTGCATCGAAGCGTTTCTTATGATAGTGATTTTAATCACTGTCAGATTAAATCTAGACTGAACCCAACTATGCAATGTCTCCACTATGCCGCGACCCCACTGTGCTACCGTTTTTTATTTTTTATTATAATAACTCGCTATTAAATGTAAACTTCATTTAGAACTTAATGATATAATAAATGAGTAATAAAACAAATTTTATTGAGGCGATTAGGTTATAATTTTCTGGCATGTAACAAAAAAAATGTATTAAAAGTTATAATAATTTTAAAATGCCATCTTTTTGGCTTTTGAAAAATTACAAAATTGTAGTTTTTAAACTTAATTAATTTTATGCACGTATAAAAAAAGTTAAAATTTATAAATACATCGTCAATTTGAATTATAAATCACTGTTAATTTAGATTATAGTTTTAAAAAGCTGAATTTATTAGACACATGATGAGTTAGTTAACTATTTTTTTATGTATAAGGAAACGCTTTCACATTATACTAAATGTTTTTATAATTTTAATATAACAAATAAAAGCTACTAGAATATTTATATTTCATTTTTTCTTTACAATTATACATTAATATATAATTAATTTTATATATTTTAATACTTCATTAATTTAATTAACATTTTAATCGGGAAATTTATAAATAAAAATAAATAAATTGATGTAATAGTTTTTAAATTTCCTAAATATTTGTGTATGTTATAAGCCAAAGGAAGTTTATAGTTAAAGGACTATAATAAAAAATATTATAACATTTTATTCGTAGCATTGAGTCTATTTTATTGTCCAGAGTTCTCTGTCTTGATGTAATTCTTTGCTCTATGATTCAAAAACTCAGAAGAAGATGGCGTTGCATTCGATAATACTTTAGCTACAATTTTTTATATAGCATAGAGTGCAGCACATGTTATTTTCTAAAAAATAAAATTAAACAAGTTAATTAGTTAAAATTGTAATTAATTCTATAGTTATACTTTAAATTTATAAAAAATTATTTTAAAACAAAATCATATTAATAATTAAATATGAGTTGGAATATTTTTCAGCAATATAGTTATAAACAATTAAACGGTTTAACGATTTACTTTTTTAGTTATATAAAAAATAATCCATCAAAATTTATGAGAGAATTAAGATATTATTCAATATGAATTAATTTATATAATTTTTAATTAGTTTGATAAATGATGTTAAAAAAATTTCAATAACCATAGTTAGAAAGTGTAATAATTCGAATACTTGTTTTTAGCTTCGATGCGAAGCTGAGAAGGTATTAATTTTACCATGATGTGTTTATTTTTTTTTTTTTTTTTTTTTTTTTTTTTTTTTTTTTT